ATTCACAGTTTTATGTTTTAGTCTATTTTCTTTACATGTTTTTAAAAAATAAGTTAATTGTTTGATACATTTTCTGGAATTCTATATCATTCACTTTTGTGTATAAGTTTTATGATGTATAAAACATTATATGGCAGTGATTACTATAAGTTCTAACACTGTAATTTGTATTTTTTTTTCCGATTAATAAAAATAATGTTATATATATCTAAAATTGGACTGCTTAGTGGCATTGAAGAAATAATGCTTAATAGTGTGTGCTATCAACACACCCTTTCTTACCAATGTAACAAAAACTAATTGCCAGAGTCTTTGTTTTAGGGGTCGTTGCACGTCATCCTCTTTATTACCCTTATCTAAAAAGAGCACTTACTGCACAAGTCGTAGAGGAGTATTTTCAGCATACTTTACAAAAAGAGAACATTGATGAACAGTTAGTCACTAGGTAAGTAATAATTGTTACATTTTGATCATATATATGTATATACAGTGTGTATCTATGAATGAAGCTGCTGTTAACTGCTCATCTACTGAAAAGCATGTCTATCTGTAGGAAGAAGCCAGTCAAACTTCAAAATCAGAATTTTTTTTTGATTTATTTTAATATATTTAATTAATTGCTAATGTAGTGTGTTTAACCCCTTAAGGACGCAGGAGGTTCTATGCTGTCCTTAAGAGGCTGTCTCTAAACGCCGCAGGATGGCATAGAATGTCCTGGCCGTTCTTGCTGCCCAAGTTGCCGCCGCCATTACCCTGCTGCAGATTGTGCCCAGTGACCGCGGTCTGCAGCCTCCGATCGCAGTGGCAGGCTGTCACCAAGTGGCTACTAAAAAAGACTGGACATACCCCATTTGCAAAACCTTGGGTTGTCTAGTATTGCAAATGGTATGCCATAATGGGTGTAATTCTCATTCCTGGGCTACCATGCGGTCTCAAAGACAACGTATCCAATCTGGCGAATTTCAATGTGAAAAAAATGAAAAATGTAACATGCTATAATTGACCCTGTAACTTCCCAAAATACCATATAACCTGTACCTAGGGGGTACTGTTTTACACGTGAGACATCGCTGAATACAAATATGTGTATTTTATTGCAGTAAAAGCAAACAGTATTATGACATTCACAGTTAAAATGTCACGTAGAACCAAGAAAAAAAAAAAAAAAAACGTATTTTCTCCCATTGTTTTTATATTTTATTCATATTAAATTATGTTTCATACCTAAATATTTGATGTTAAATGAAAGCCCTGTTTCCTCTGAATAAAATGATATATAATAATTGTGGGTGCACTTAATATGATAGAGGTGAATATTACGGTTGGACAGACCTATAGCGCAAATGCCAGGTTTTGTTTATGTTTTGTTTTGATCACGTGTACATTTGGCTCAGTTGTAGGTCAACTCTAACATAAGTAGTGTCCCTTTCAGTTTTGTAACTTTTTTTTATTGTACTTTCTACAAGCTGATACTGATATCTTTACTAGGTGTCTGCCTGGGTTCAGTGTACTTTTCTTCTGATACAGTTAAATATATAACGTAACAGGTACAAATTCTGGGCATAATGTTTCAAGTGACTCAGAAATTGTGATAATGAATGTTCAGCATAATATTATTCTAGATTCAATCTTCTTATTTTCATTTACCATCATTATGTGGCTACACTGAAGATATCACACTGCTATGCAATGGTGGTTATGTATGGTGCCTGTGGAGGCATTTGGAAATATTGACAAGTTCAAAAGTGCCAAGCAAAGCATGGGCTTTCCTTGGTAACAGTGGGAACAGTACATGTGTCTCTTAGTCATAGGACTAAGTGAGCTCCAGGCCCACACAGGTACAGAGCACTTTAAGAGTGCCTTCGCAGTTCCAGCGCTCAGTCCGTGTCATTGAGAAGCTGGGGTGCTCTTAAAGTGATCTGTACCTGATATTGGGACACATAGTAAGGAAGCTCAGGGTCATGCAGGGACTCTGAGGGTTTGCTCATAGCCAGAACTCCATACCCAGGCAGAGGACCTAGGTTGCTACCTTGGTCGCCATATAGGTAATCCAACTATGCAGCTTATTCTCATATACATGGCTGTCATCAGGTTGTGCCAACCATTACGGTTGATACAGATCTGGACTGCTTGCTCTATACACCCAATGTGCATATATACTATATGCAGTTGCGTGCCCTGCTAGCTTTCATAGTAAAGAGGGAGCCCAGCTCGTAGTTGTCTTTCCAACAGAAGCTCTTGCAAGCTTCTACTATCTGAGCATTGCCGCTTGTTGACATGGCATGCCAGGCTCGCGAGAGGGGAGAAAAGCTACTTCCTGGCTGCGAGAGGTGTAAGATGAAGTCTGGGCTGCCCTCTTCTGTAGAAAAGCATGTAGAATCATGTACTGTGCCACCAGACCACCAGGGAGTGTAATAAAACTTTGACTAGATTTTTTTTTTTTGCCTCTCTCGTTTCCTCATATTCCAGCCTCTTCGAAAAAATGCCTTTGTTCTGATATAATACGGAATAAGGTGCTGTGTCCTATTTCTTCGCTTAACAATACTAAAGTCCCCGGCCCTTGGATGTTGCAGAAGTTATTACAAGACATATCGAGATCCTGGCTGCATATCTGCTTCCAGAGGAGGGGAGCACCATCCCCCTGAAGGACATTTGCCAAAGTGGCATTACTGCCTAAGGAGGCCAGGAACCCCACTAGAGTAATCAAGTACAGGCCAATCTGCCTTATTAATATTGATGCAAAAATATTGCCACAGTTTTGGCTGATCACCTGGGTCCCCTGCTCAGAATTCTCATTCACCCTGACCAATTGGCATGTATCACTGTATGATTTATTAGCTGTATGAGAATGCATAACAGGTTCTGGATTTGGTATAGTGGCTTTATTTGGCTGGCACAACTTATCTGTTTCTTTAAATGGAGAAATACTATAAAATCTCCATTAATAGAGGGGGTCCCCATCTTTTAATCTACTCCCCCTTATCTAATTAAGATTTATTTTGCTATCTCCAATTGAAGGATTTTGTCCAATCTGCATGGATTAAACAGGCATCTTAGAAATTGCCTTGTTCGAGTATCTATGTTTGTGGATCTCACATCAGAAGGTCGATATTTCTTATTTACAATTATATCTGTTCACATTCTTCTGAGTGGGTTGTCCCCAGCTATATTCACAAATATGAGCGTGACCTAGAGGGAGCTCTAGGTTACTTTCTGGGAAGGCACATGGGAGGCCACTGCGAATGTTGTTGTTTTTTTTTTATGTGTGTGTGACTAGAAACAAATGTATTTAGTTTTGTTTAGATAGCACACTAACCCAGTGCGATTATACCGAACGGGCAGGAATACCACAGATTTATGTAGCAGTGTGCGTGGGTAGTGGGTACCATGAATCCCATCTCCACATGTGTTGGGATTGCCACAAGGTGAATTCATACTGGAGAAAGATTGAGGAGCTTTTAAAGGTGGTCTTTCATAGACCATTTGCATCGGACCCTTGGTTGTTATTATTGTCCCATTCTAATGAGGGATTTCCGTCCCATTTGCAAAAGCTCTCTAACAAAATAAACTCAAGGCTGGAGAACACATCTAGCTGAGTATCAATTGTTTATTGGATTAACTCTCCCTTTTGCTTTTTTTGCAGTGAGTGGCTATCTTACCTCTCACTTTCTTCCTCTTTCCTCCCTTCCCCCCACACTCTTTCTAGTTTTTATAATTATCTGTATTTATTTATTACTGACATTTCTAAAGCGCCAGCATATTCAACAGCACTGTACAATTAAGGGGAAAAAACAGTATAATATACACATATCACTACAAAAGGTAAAGCGTACTTGAGGTGAGATCTAGCCACTGAAGCTCTTTTATACAAAGTGCCAAAGTGCAGAGAGGGAAAGTTTTCATACTTTTATTCCTGGAATATTTAAAATCAAATCATAGTTTTAAAAGCAGAATTAGCATTTTTGTTCCAACATGATTTGCAATGAACATAATGGTGATGATAAAGTATTTAAAACTGGCATATAGTGGTGTTGCTGATAGTTCAAAATAAGATTTATTACTCTAGCTAATAGGTCTTCAGAAACACTTTTCATGCAAATTAATATTCCTTAATATACGTATAAAAATCATTTATAACTTTAGAATTCAGACTTGCTCCTTAATTAGTAGTCTGACTTCATAAAACTTAATAGAACTGCTAAGGCAATACAAATTATACTATAAGAAACTTTAACACATGCTGGTAAAACCATTCAAATTCTAGTAAATTGCTAGCTTTTGGCATTGTATAAGTTAGACTGGGCTGCAGTGCATTGTAGTTGTTCTGGTAAGTATATACAGTCTCTGCAGGCATTTTCATGCAAACTGTCTTTTCAGAGAAGAGGCAGTGTTTGCATTAATGCCTAGGGACAACTCCAGTGGCCTCCAGTAGATTTTAGTCGACTAAATGTCCAGTAGATTTTAGTTGACTAAATCTCCAGTAGATTTTAGTTGAGACAACTAAAATTGAATGGGTTTAGTTAAAGCCTCTGTCTCTTTTGCCCCTTCTCCAGCCCCTCTGTTTTTTTTTTTGTGTCCTCCCAGCCACACTAGGTTTCTCTATCCCAAGCCCTGGTCTGTCTCTTTTGCCCCTTCTACAGCCAGTCTGTGCAGTGTTAACTTTGGCGGCAAATTTCAATTAAGTTTTAGTCATAGTCTTTTGACTAAAATGCCCTTTTCGTTTTAGTCTTATTTTAGTCATCTGAAAGTTTCAGTTTTAGTTGACTAAATCTCAAAAATTTTAGTCAACAAAATTAACACTGTGCAAAGTAAACATTTTCATAACCATATGAACAAACAAGAGTATGTTTCTTCTTAGCATACTGTTTGTACATTTTGTATGTTGTGCCTCACATTGTATTGAAAGGTTTGCATGCACATATAACTGTAGGAATGCTAACATTTATAAAAACCCAATTACTAGGAAACCTAAAATGTAATCTTCTGTTTTCCTTTAATGCAGATATGAGCTGCCTGGAATATATGCTTTAAACTTTGTTTTAAAGAATTCGTTGGGAGGTGGAGGCATTGCATCACTGAGAAGCGATCCACAGGTATTTTAATACTCATTAGCTGCCTTTTTTTCAGTTTAAGTCTAAATTCACTCTGACAAGCAAAGCAATTACATAGTATTTTTTAGTTCATTTAAAGTGTGTACCACAAGAGAAAAACAATTCCTTAAATGATAGCATAGTCACTGATCATCCAGAACATTAAAAGTTTGCAAACTAGGAAAAAAAAATCCTTCTTGACTCCAGAATGGCAGTCAGATTTATCCTTGGATCAAGCAGTTATTACCCTACATTGAAAAATTATAACCTTAAATATTCTGTTTTTTTCAAGTATGCATCTAGTTGCTGTTTGAACATCTGTATGGACTCTGATAAAACTACTTCTTCAGGCAGAGAATTCCATATCCTTATTGTTCTTACAGTAAACAAAAAAAAACAACCTTTTCTTTGCCTTAGACAAAATCTTCTTTCTTCCAGTCTAAATGCATGACCTTGTGTCTTATGTAAAGTCCGGTTTGTGAATAGATTTCCACACAATTGTTTGTATTAGCCCAGAATATATTTGTATAATGTTATCATATCCCCTCTCAGGTGACGTTTTTCTAAACTAAAGGGGTTTATATGTGTTAACCTTTCTTCAAAGCTGATATGTTCCATTCCTTTTATTAATTTTGTAGCCCGCCTCTGCACTTTTTCTAGTGCCATAATATCCTTCTTTAGAACAGGTGCCCAAAATTGCACAGCAAACTCAATGATTACCAGTGATTTATAAAGAGGCAAAATGATATTCTCATCCCGAGAATGAATGCCCCTTTTCATGCATGACAATACCTTACTGGCCTTAGCCACTGCTGATTGACATTGCACAGTGTTGCATAGTTTGTTGTCTATAACAATTCCCAAGTCCTCTTCGTGTGTTGTTATCCCTAATTTGCTTTCATTAAGGGTATACGTTGCTTGTGTATTCTTTATGCCAAAGTGCATAACTTTGCATTTTTCAAATTAAATTTAATTTGCCATTTGAGTGCCCAGTCCCCCAGTCTATCTAAATCCCTCTGCAGCAAAGTAATATCTTGCTCACATTGTATTATTTTACAAAGTTTTGTGTCATCTGCAAACATTGAAACATGACTTTCAATGCTTTTTTTCAAGATCATTTATAAACATGTTAAATAGAAGGGGTCCTAGAACAGAACCCTGAGGGACCCCACTTGCCACCTCTGTCCAGCTTGAAATTTTACCAATAATGACAACTCTTTGTACTCTATTTTTAAAACATAGAAAAAATAGATTAGAATGGCGCAATAATTAAAATCAGTTAAGGTGACTTTATATTTGTGTGGCAATGATGTTACTGCAGCAACCTACTAGGAACTCTGGGAGGTAATTGTAAATTGTAGTTATCATTTAATTGAACTTATGATTGTTTGCGCACCTACACTTTTTTGTGTTTATACTCTCTTTTTAAGCCAATGTTCTACCCAAGAACAAGCATTTTCATCTAGACCGATTTCTTTGAGTTTGAATACTAATCTGTTGTGTGGAACTGTATCAAATGCCTTGGCAAAATCCAAATAGATCACATCCACAGCAACACCCTGATCAATACTTATACTTACTTCATTGTAGAATGCAATCAAGTTAGTTTGACATGACCTGTGCTTCATAAAACCATGCTGATTTTTGCTGATAGCAATGTTCTTCTCAAGGCATTCTTGAATGTTATCCCTTAATAACCTTTCAAATACTCTTCCTGCCACAGAAGTTAAGCTCACAGGTCTATAATTTCCAGGCAAGGATTTTGAACCCTTTTTGAATATAGGAACCACATATGCCTTCCTCCAATCCTCCGGAACACTTCCTGAAAGAAAAGAATCTTGAAAGATTAAAAACAGAGGTTCACTTATTTCTACGCTTAGTTCCTTAAATACTCGTGGATGAATACCGTCAGGCCCTGGAGCTTTGTTTATATTTTCTTTAGTTGTTGCAGCACCTTGTCTTGAGTTAACCATAAACAATTTTTCTGCAAGTTTTTAGCAGCAATCATTTGCACATCTATTGCCATGAGTTCTTCCTAAATATATACGGAGGAGAAATAGTTATTTAAAATTTCTGCCTTTTCCTGGTCCCCATTCCAATTTTTTGTGTGCTTACACTTTTGTTTCTTTAGAATTTATGTACAGTGGGACCTTGGTTTACAAACGCCTCGGTTAACATAATTTTCGGTTTACAAATGAAAATCCATAAAAAATAATGCCTTGGTTTACAAATTTGTTTCACAATACACAATTGCACCTGGGAGGTTTATAGCACTGCCCCCTGCATGCTGGAGCCTGTGGGTAGCATGTGGCATCGAGTGTGGAGGTGTTGGAGCGCCATTCTAGAGATTTTTGCAGTTGTTTTGGGACTTTTTGGTGCATTTCTCAAGCTGTGGAAAGGTAGGGAGCTGAGCTTTGTCGGTGCTGTGGGGATGGAGCAGGAAGGGGAAAGGAAATGGTTGGTATTTCTCGGGGCGCCCGGCGGGAGGAGGTCCGCCAAACCACTGCGAACCTTTTCCAGGCTATATAGCATTTTCGTTAGCGTACACTTCCCAGGGAAGCCAGATGTTTTGGAATGTTTTTTCCGTATTTCTGATTTGTGCTGTGAGTTTGTCCATCAAATAGGAGTCTTTGATTTTAACTATCACGTCGTTGTCTGTGGGGACTGTGGGTTTAAGCCACATCTGCGCGAGGGCTCGTCTCGCAGCCAGTGTGAGTTTATTTAAAAGTTGTTGCTCCTTCCTAGGAAGGCCGTCCTTTGGTCGGGACAGTAGCATCGCCCAGGGATCTAAGTCTATATGTCGCGTGAGAACCCCTTTCACTAATGTTTGGACCCTTTTCCAGTATTTGGTCACTTCAGGGCACTCCCACCACATGTGAACAAAGGTGCCTTTGCCTCCGCAGCCTTTCCAGCATGTGTCTGTCGTGGTTTTCCCCATCTTATGGAGTTGTACCGATGTTGTGTACCACCTCATGAGCATTTTATAGGATTGTTCTTGGTGTAGTACACAAATTGACGTCTTGGCCGTCGCTTCCCAGATATCCACCCAGTCCTCTTATAGCCCCCCCTAGGTCCTCCTCCCACTGGTGTATATATCTAGGGTCTGCGGTTCCCTTTTCTGGGGAACTCAACTGCGCATATATGGCCGTGATCAGCCCCTTTTGTGTAGTTTCTGCGTTGCACATTTGTTCGAAAAATGTCATAGGGGTCTGTGCTGCTTTTTTAATATCTGGGTTTTTGGCAAAGTCTCTCAACTGTACATATCTGAATACGTCTTTGGTTGTCAGGGGGGCCATGGCTTTTAGGGTGTCAAAGGTTTTGAAGGAGTCGCCGTCGTACATATGTCCGTATCTTTGCATTCCTGTGTCTTCTATCCCCCTAAAATCTCGTGCGGTCAGCCCGGGTTCGAATGCTTTGTTCCGTAAGTATGGAGTCAGTGGCGAGGGTGTGTGTTTTAGTGCGTATTTGGTGGCTGTTAGATCCCAGATCCTTATGGAATTAAGGATCGCCGGACAAGAGGTGCGTAGGGGTGGTCTGTCTTGTTTGGGTACCCAGATCCAAAATTGTGGGAGGTCCGTACACATAAGTTTTGTCTCTAGGTCTACCCACCTGTGCGAGCCCTCCGGAGTGTGCCATGTTATTATTTGGGCTAGTTGCGCCGCCAGGTAGTATTGATATAAGAGTGGGAGTCCTAGTCCACCCTTCGCTTTCGGTCGGTACATTACTTGCAATCCTGTGTCTTTTCTGTGCCCAAATGAAGTTATCTATGTGTTTCTGAATCATCTGCAGGTCTTGTTTAGTGACTTTGGTGGGTAGGGCCTGGAACAAGAACAATAGTCGTGGGAGTAGTGTCATTTTAATTGCGTGTTGTCTGCCAATCCACGATATGGGCTTTTCGTGCCATTTTTCCAAGTCACGACAAAGCGCCTGGATTGTAGGCGGGTAATTGGCACTATATAGTTTCGCCGGGTCTGAGGTGAGTTTAACGCCGAGATATTTAATTTCGGATCTCGTAAGTTTGAAGGGATAGGCGTTTTTAATGTCGTTAACGCTGTCTGCATCCATTTCTATTGGCATGGCCACCGATTTTTCTAAATTTATTTGATAGCCTGTGATGCGTCCGTATTCCTCTAGGAGGGTCATAAGTCGGGGCAAGGATTCTCTCGGGTTGGTGATCGTGACCAGGACATCATCCGCGTATGCGGAGACTTTAAATTCTTCGTCCCTCGTCTTGACCCCGGTTATGTGCTCTTCCTCCCGTATCCTCTGCAAGAGAGGCTCCAACGAGAGGACGAACAGCAGAGGGGAGAGGGGGCAGCCCTGTCTCGTGCCGTTGGCGGGCGTAAATGGGGTCGGGGTTGCTCCCTGTACGTTGGTCTGGGCCCTCGGGTCAGTGTATAGGGCTTTTATACCTTTAACAAAGTTTTCTGGCATGTGTAGGCGTTCTAGTAGCGCAAAAAGTAGCGCACCATTGCACCCTATCGAACGCCTTCTCCGCGTCCAGGGAAAGGATCAGAGAAGGCGTCCGGGTCCGAGTCTCCCACCATATGAGATCAGCACCTCTCCTTGTATTTTCATATAGTTGCCTAGCCGGCACAAAGCCGACCTGGTCTGGGTGTACTATTTTACCTAGGAGGGGGTTTAATCTTGTTGCCAGTATTTTTGCAAAGATTTTTACATCAAAATTTATTAGGGAGATGGGCCTGTAATTTGCTGCTTCGGTTGAGTCCCGCCCTGGTTTGGGTATAAGTGCGATGTCAGCTGTGAGCATGTCCGGGTTTGGATGTCCACCGTCCATCCATTCATTGTACATCTTCGTCAGTCTCGGAGTTATCACTTCTCTAAATGTTTTATAATAGGAGCCGTCGAAGCCGTCCGGCCCCGGGGCTTTATTTCCCTTTAGGGCCGTGATCGCCTTGTCTACCTCCTCCTCCTCGATGGGCACCCCCAAGGCGGTTAGGGCCTCCGGGTTCGGTCCCGTCATATTCGTCCTGGTTACGTAGTTAGTTACGTCATGTGTGTATTCCCTATTTTTACTACTTAGTTCTGGGGAGTGGTTGTATATGTGTGATAGGAACTCCGTGAAGATCTGATTGATCTCCGTAGGATTGTGGGTTATCCGACCTTGTTTATCTCGGATCGCCGAGATAGTTTGGAAGTGAGGCTTGGGGTTTAGTGCCCTGGCCAGTAGGGTGTCCATCTTGTTGGAGCGTTCGTAGTAGAGGCGTTTTTTCCGAACTCAAGGATGAGATGACAAGCGCTTAAGTCTAGAGCCAACTTTGAATGGGCTCGGAAAATTGTGAGTTTGAAGAAATATTTCCTTTACACTACTATTTGTTTTATACAGGTTACACTATGTGTATTTTATTTCTTTGTATATAGGTGTTACAAATAACCTGTAGTGTTTTTCTGTGTGCGCAAATCACCTTCTTTCTTACTATATCACATTTTAAGTGTAAACGGTGACATTACGCTTGGGTAATTTTAGCTGCACAATATTTTAGAAATACTAGCGCCACTGTGTCCTTTTTTTTCTGTTTCATCTTTTATACTGTTGCCCAAGGCTTATTGATGCACGTGGGGAGCGCAGGATAGCCCATCTGGTCCGATCACAAAGAAGAGCTATTGTAGCTCAAAGCAATGAAAAATGTAATGCTGGCTATGATAACACACACACAGTGCATCACAGTTTGCTACACATGGAGCAATAAAAAGAGGTTGCCTAGTCTGATGAATCACGTTTTCGTTTAGATCTGGTAGATGGCTGGGTGAATGTGCAGCAGCATGTCAGGCTGGCAGAGGATGTGTTATGTGGACGTTACTTTGACACATACCACCTACCTAGAGATTGTTGCAGACAATGTACCCCATTTTATGGCAATGGTGTTCCCTGATGGCAGTGGCTTCTTTCAGTAGGATAATGCACCCTGCCACACTGCAAAAATTGTTCTGAAATGGTTTGACGAACATGAGAAGAGTTCAGGGTGTTGCTCTATCCTCCAAATCTCAGTCCGATTGACCATCTGTGGGATGTACTGAAACTGGAACAACAATACGATCCATGGAGGCACCACCTTGCAGGACTTAAAGGTCCAGTTTGGGCACCACAACAACTTTGAAATTAAGTTGTAATGGTGCCATGAGGTCCACAGCCCTGGCTCACCTTAACTGGTTAAACCATTCTCAACAATTTAACCCAAAAGTCTGTGTTCCATCGTGGAATCTCCCTGTCTCTCTGTCCTTCTATTTTCTTACAATCGGGAAGTTGGAAAGCTCTTGCAGAATCGGGCAGCGGGGCTGTTGATTGGCTGGAATAGTCAGCTGACGCTCTCTCCACCAATTAATGACTCCCTATTCGTAAACCTGGCTTGAACAGAAATGTAAGAAGGTAAGCCAGAAGGGACTTCCTGGCACCATATCAACTTCATTTTTATGGTGCCTGGAGTGTTCCTTTAAAGGATCTGCTGCTGGTGCCAGATACCACAAGGCACATTCAGAGGCAGTGGCGGAACTACCGCGGTCCAGGCGTCAGACGTACAACCGGGCCCATCACTCCAGGGGGCCTCGTCGCCCTGTGGAACCCTGCTACCGCTGTGCCTGCCGGACATTGCGGTGCGGCCCCGGCCCATTGGGGCCATGCGTTCAGGTGCCCATCAGGTGGCCCATGCTATTAAGGCCACCCAATGGCAATGTATTTCCAGGGGCCCAGTCGGGGCTGCAGCACTTTAATAGTACGACCGGGCCCCCTGTGATGAGGTCACTTCCTCCCAGCTAACATAGAGAGCCGCAAGGGAGGAGGAAGGAGAGGAAGGAGTCAAAGTAGGAACTCTAAATCACATCAGCCTGAGCCATTGGACCCCAAGGAAGTCACCCTCCTGCACCTATAATGTAGGAAACAGGAGGGTGACCAATACATTTTGCATGTGTTTGTGTATCTGTGTCTAAAATCAGACCCCATACACCGTAATGAAAAAATGGGTCATTTTACCCCACTGCGTCCCATTATAACATGATAGGAGTTTTAGTCATCAGCAATATGAGTGACAGAAGCTTGCTTTTCACTTTATTGGTTTTGGTCTAAACTGTAGCATGTTGTTACACAAAATGAAACTGAAGAAAGCACATTTCAGTTTTTGCAGAATTAGTAAAGTCTGAAAGATGTGTGATTGGATTTACTAGACTGAGCCAGTAATTTTAAATGTCACCACACCTTAATGATTTCTGGCAAAGTTAAAGTCACACAACCCAGCTGCTGCAGACAGGAAATGCCTCAGTAGCTTAAAGTACAGACTGAAAGACTTTGTACTGGAGACAGCAAGGTGATAGACAAAACTTTTAAGAACATAGCAAGTCTGGTGTGCCTGAAGCCATTGTGGAAGTATGAATGAGACCAAGGCAAAAAGCCATTATATGGATATTTTTCACTACTAAACAATGTTCACGTTATTAAATCTACATGTATTATTCAATGTAGCTGTTTGCACTCAAACAAAACGTGTAATACCTCTATAGTTCTGAAACACCCAGTACCCTAATAACTTTTTCTTACCAACATAAATATATAGGTAAAATGCACAAATCAAAGTCTGTCTACAAAATAGAAATTAATGTCTTACTGTATTTTGTTTTTCTGGTTATTGTCTATGGCAGCATTTATACATGGTTAACTCCTCAATCTCAGCAAAAAAAATAAAAATAAAAAAATACAACAAAATTCATATATGACACTAAACATATATAATATTACATAAGGACGCTCTGCTCCAGTATGTCCTAGCCTATGAAGAGATAGATCAGTAAAAGGACACTTTAAGCATCAAAACAACTTCAGCTTAATTAAGTTGTTTTGGTGTATAGATCATGGCCCAGCAGTTCAAATGTTTAATTATTTTCTGTTTAGGAATTTTAATTATTTGAATTTGTATAGTGCAAACATATTCCTCAGTGCTTTACAATGTTATACAAGGAGACATATTCTCATAATTGTGACAGCAATGCTAGATTGATGATGACTCTGCTCGAACAAGCGTACAATCTAGAGAACATGGTATATAAAAACACAATAGGAAGGGCAAAATGGAGAATAGCAACCAAGTGACAAGGTGGCAAAGTAGCAGAATTGGAAGGTGAGAGTGAAGTATGTACCCAATATTTGAGCTGAGAAAGTGGGATACAGGATTTCTGAATGACTGGTACCCTAGAAGGCCAGTTCTGAACAGGTGTGTTCTAAGCAGGTACCTAGACCTGTATCTGTATGTGCGTCAGTGTTTTTCATTGTATGCATCTGTGCATGTGTGTCAGTATTTGTGGATCTCTGTGTTTTAATCTGTGCATACGTATCAGTATGTGTCAATGTAACTGTGTGTATGAGTCAATCTGTGTGTCTATCTCTCAGAGTTAATCTGTGAGTATATGTGTCTGTGGATATCTGCGTGTTGTAGTGTTTGTGTGTTGCTGTGTATGACAATGTGCCCCTGTATGTATGGATGGCACTGCATATGTATTTGTGAATACACATTTGCCTGCAGTTACCACAATTACACACATTCACATCCCTGCATTTAAAGACAAACAATACATTAAAAAACAAAACAAAAAAAACTTGTATTCAAACACCAACACCACACACCTCTACATTTAAATGCCAACACTACACACAAACAGACTCCCTGCATTCAAGCAACAGAATTATACACAAATATTCACAAAAACTTACTCCATGCAAAAACATGCCTACTTTCACAAATAATGCATACAAAGAGGATGGGTAAATAGCAGATCCACAGCTGGAAAAGCATCATAGGATGTATACTGCAGCTGAGGATCTACCTATTGGCCATCTCTGCTCTATTGGTTGGGGACGTATCAGATTTTTGCTCCGGGGCCCTAAGGTTTCAAGTTATGCCCCTGCAGGAGAAGGTCACTGGCAGAATGGAGCCTATAAGAAGGTGTATATACAAATTAGTGAGAAAAAAAAAGGGGAGCTGTGTTGAGAGCTTTGTAGAAGTTAATATTTTGAATAGTATAGGGTATAGGATACAGGAAGCCAATGTAATGATTAAGGGGTGACATTTCAGAGGAACGAAGAAAGAGACAAACTGGCCTGGCAGCAGTATTATGGACGATAGAGAGGTGATATGGTTTCTGGAGGGACAAATAAGGGGAGAATTACAGTAGGCAACTCGAGAAATTACAAAAACATGAACTAGCTGCTTAGTAGCATCTTGAATAAGAAAAGGGCAAATGAAGGCAGGTTTTGGCAACATACTGGATATGAAGTGTAAAGCCAAGGCTAGAACTGAAGATAAAACCAAAGGCAGCGAGCTTGCAAGGAAATTCTTGAAAGACCATCTAGTTGGCATGCAAGAGAGTGTTTTGTAATTAGCATATGAAAAAGTTTTAATTTTCTACAGAGAAAGGGATGAGTTTGAAGTTGAATGAGTGGCTTATATGTAAAACCGCATGTTTTACCTTCTGGTATCTCCCAGTTCTCTTACTAAAGCAGAGCTTATATAGAATCAGTTTTGAAATATGTTCTATTATCTATCAAAATTCACTGGTTTTCTTGCTGTTAAGTTTCAGGTGATGTGGAAATAAAGTTGGACAAATTTAAGTTAGTTTAACATGTCCATACACTTTGGAGTAGGGACAAATAAAAATATAGGTTTTATAAGAGAGTGTTAAATCCCCATGACTCTCGTTTATCTGAATGGGGTCTGGAGGAAGACAGCTCAAACTCTCATTAGAAGTGTTAGGTCCCTTTTTATCCGCTGTGCCTTAATAGCTTAGTTAGCCTAGTTAATAACTCCCGGTTACACTAAAAGGGTCAAATGGTGTCTGTCATTGTGACCTCATATTTTATCACATAAAATAAGAAAACAATAATGTTCCTGTAGCTCCTATTTAATATTTGTATATAATACCTATCACACCACAAACATGTTACAAACAGTAGGTTTTCTTTTCATTTTCTTATATAGTGCAGGACGAATAGATTTGTTATTTTAGTGAGCGTTTGTTTTATATAACAAACTTGGGATTACAGACTGGTGGGGCATGATAAACAGAAGTAAGTGCAGCATGAGACAGAGGTAGAAAGAAACTGGAAAAAGGAGACTGTGAGAGAAGGAAGAGAAACAAGTAATGGAAAAGAAAGAACGGAGATGTGGGATGGACAAGATGATTACTATGACTATAAAAAGTTGCAAAAGACCTTGGTTGTCATTGAATCTGAAATTTACAAAAAAAAAGTGTTTGAAAATTGAGGGGAGTATGTGAAAACCACTGTGGAAATTGGATGTGAACAGTGACGCATGTATTTTATATTGCAGAATTAACTATAGTCCAAATCAGGCGCAATACATGGAATAAAAACCCTTTAAAAAGTTACCTGCACACTATCTCAAATCCTTATGCAAACTGAAATAACTGGAGGTTTTTTAGTTTCACTCTAATGGTCATAAAAGTGTAAGCTAACCTGACACGTCATGGCAAACTTCCTAGGCTTGTCCTACACTAACAATTCACCTTGCTTCTTCTTGGTTATGCATCAAAAAGAGACACTTGTAGATGAAAAGCATATTAGGCTTAACTTGTGTGGATAAAACAGCAAACATTTAGAACATATCAGTTGCTTGGAACAGCAGCCAGCAGGGTGAA